AGACAGAAGGGTTCAAAACCTCCTGGAATGGTCGTGTGCTGGTGTTTAGGGTCTGGTTCTAAATCAGCAGCTTGGGTCAGTGAGGCTGCTGAAATAACACAGTATCGTTTTCAGCATTTTAATTTAAACACCAGAGGTTTGAAGGAGTAGCAGCTCAGTCACATGTTAGACACTGATCTGGAGGCTCTTCTCATTTTGTTACTGGTTTGAAGGATGGATAATTATATTATTAAAAACAAGTTTAATTCATTTTTAAAGTGTTAAATTTGCTGCACTCAGTGTGATAGTCAACTGTTGCCTCAATAAAACTTGATTGATTTTTGTCTTGAAAACACAGTCCTGCAAATACATTAGAATTTTAATGACAAAACTGAGTGTGTTTAAAAATATTTCTGTGGTTGTTTTTGTAAGTTCAGGGTCAAAATGCTTGCTCTCCTTATCAGACATTTGTCCCCTCCAGGGGGCAGTGTTTTCACAGAAACAAGAAGATGAGGAAAGGTTGAAAAGAGATTGTGGAGAAAATCTCAACTCAGGTCAAAATAACCTGGTACATGTAAACTATTTTCTACAAGGTTGAGGTTCTGACAGAAAATATTTTCACATCAAACTATGTTGATGAAGACATAATAAAACCTTGGCTCAGACTAACTTCTCAGAACTAGCAGGTTGTTTGTGTTTTTACCGCTGACGCAAAAGGGAATCTCAGTTAAAACAAAAGAAAAAAAAAGAAGAAGAAATAATTCTTTAAACTGCTTGATTAAATATGAAATGTGTGTATGTTAGTGGGTAAACTATCAGGCTGTCGTTCAACAGAGATGATGGTAAATGTATGAACTCATTCATTGAGTGCTGCAAAATGAGTGTTTTTCTTTAGTCTTTTGCACAAACACTCATGTCAACAGATTGTGCCGGTACATCATCTGGTTTGGATTTGACCGTCTCACTCCAGATTCTTGCCAGGTGACAGTGGAGCTCTGAAAGAACAACTGTCAAGATCTATCAGCTAACCTGATAAAGCTGTGTCTTTAAATAGTGTTTCAGATACGTGTCTTAAATTTGCTCTTCTCCCTCCTCTGAATGAAATAAGATCTCGTAAAAGCCTCCGACATAAAATAGATTTCATTCCAATCTATCATAAAATATGAACTTCAGTCAAAGAAAATGTCCGTTACATCCTGTTTATATTGATTATTATTACTATAATAGATTTTTGTTTAAATTATTTACACATCATATTTCCATACTAGTCATTTTCTAATGTTGTATTGTTCCAAATCGGAGAGCGTCATGTCCAATTTAAAAAAAAAAAAAAAAAAATCAATTGAAAATCTGTTCAGGAGAAACATCTTCTCCTCAACTAAACACCATCCCCCCCCCCCCCCCCTCCTCCGTCCTTAGTTGGACTCTGAATTCCACGTTTTTCATTCTTTTTCTAAACCTTCACCACATTTGCAAATCATTTTAACTGATGTGGATTTTGTAAACAGTAGTGTGTGTTTTAGATTTACATTTCTGCTGGATTTAAATGTGTCTCGCAGATGCTGTGATATAACGCTCTGTAATTTTAGCTTACCGTTCCCGAGGTTGGACGTCTTACACACTCTCAGATTTATATGAAATAAAACGTATCTAGGTTAAAGATAAAATGAATGAGAAGTATCTGGGGATATGATGACAGGGTTGTGTGTATGATTATCTTTGGATTCTCATAATGACGGCCATTACGGAGCCAACGCTCGCCTGCGTTTGAACGCCGTGTTTATCCCTTTGCACCGGGCCTGTGGGCCTGAGCAATTGTTCCTCTGTTTTGTTAGCCTCGGATAGTATTTAATTTAATTTTTTTCTTGTTTGGACCAGTGGCTGAAGATGACTCTGAAGTGGAGCTTTGTTTATATTTGTGGTGCTGATGATTTCACCCCAGGTAAAAATGACGTAGTTTGTTTGCAGGGTTGAAAATTCTGATGTACATACTTTTTTGTCTAAACCATACGTAGCGTGTGCTGCTGGAAGAACGATTTGTCATCAGGGAGATTTAAAAGTCAGTTCTATTTTGTGTGCTGTTAGAATTTTATCTAAGATTGATGACCTCTGGTGGTGTGAGAAGCCGAGAGATGCATTTTTTTCTTCTTTTTTGTAAGAAGCAACAGTTCTTACATTCTTAGAAGCAGCAACATGCTCTGAGTTTTCAGGTGACATTTCTATCTGGATTTTAACTGTTTTTTTCCCTCTCTCACTCAATGTTGTATAAATGTACAGTTTATTTCCTTGTTTTGTTTTTGTTTTTTCCACCTAAATTGTAGCTGCCACCACAGTGATGCTTAGCTTCTCATCAAGTACTTTACGATGTTTGATGAAAGCTTTTTTTACTCTCAGATAAATTATTATGTTGCTGTGTTTGAACTGCAGGATTCCAGTCTGTGTGTTTATCTCATCATGTGCAGATGTAGTGTACACAGTGTACACTGGCGAGTGTGTCTGTTATCACATAGTATTCTGCTCATAAATGCTGTTTTATTGAAGGCATTTCCACTTGTCATATCTATTATAGTCTGTCATATTCTGCCGTCATTTACACAGAGGTCATCAGAGGTCAGGTGTTTATTTAGTGACTGATCAGTGCCTGAAATATCTAGTAATTGATCAAAAAATTACATTTTTTTAAAAACTCATTTTTATTCTTTCACTTTGTGCTCTAATCTGGCTGTTTCTTTTGTGTTTATAGTCTTGATATTTGCTAAATTAGTTCAATAACTTTGGTTAAGGACCCTTTCTTATTAATGTAACTGTTTGTTTGTTGACCACTCAACGCTGTAACCCTTCAGTTAAAAGAAGACCTCCAGCTCTCCAAACCTAGTAATAATTCGTAATATGTTTAATTTGATAAAAAAGATGTTTTATTTTTAAAATTGATCAATCCTTAACAGCCTTCTAACAGATCAGTGTGACACTCCCGGTCCGCAGTACTCACTGACTGGTCCTTGGTACGAAAAAGTTTGGCGATCTCTGCTCAAATGCACAGCCAGTTTGGGGAAAGAG